GTTGAGGAAGAGCCGCTCTAGGGTCTTCATAAGATGTGACGTCAGTGCCACCGGTCGGAAGTCATTCAGCTCATTGGGCCGGTTCTTCATGCAGAAGAACAAGTACAACGTCCTGGAACGGCCATCTCAGTCCAGACCTGAATATTATTGAAATCCTGTGGTGCGAGTTAGAGAGCTGTCCATGCTCGGAAGCCATCAAACCTGAATAAACTAGAGATGTTGTGTAAAGAGGAATGGTCCAAAATACCTTCAACCACAATCCAGACTCTCATTGGAACCTACAGGAAGCGTTTAGAGGCTGTAATTTCTGCAAAAGGCGGATCTACTAAATATTGATTTCATTTCTTTTTTTGTGGAGCCCAAATTTATGCACCTGCCTGATTTTGTTTAAACAATTGTTGTAAATCCAATAAACTTAATTTCACTTCTCAAATATCACTGTGTGTGTCTCCTATATGATATATTTAACTGACATTTTTTTTTATTGTAACAACCAACGATTTATACAGGAAAATAATGACTTTTCACAAGGCTGCCCAAACCTTTGCATCCCACTGTATGTAAGACTGTATTCTTCCATTTGTGCAACATCTCTAAAGTTAGAAATATCCTGTCTCAGAGTGACGCTGAAAAACTAGTTCATGCATTTATTACTTCCAGACTGGACGACTGTAATTCATTATTATCAGGATGTCCAATTTCACAGCGGCTCATTTCCGGCCTTCCCGACCTTTGGAGGACCTGACCCACGTAAACCTTGAAGGCCGGATCCTCAGGAGGACACAGCCTATGAATTTGGACACCTCTAGTGAAAACTATCTACCCCCTCCCGATGAGCGGGAGAAGAAATGGGCCACTGCTCCTGGCCTATGGACCACCTTGAATTTGAAGGGCTACAAAGCCAGATACCACTGGGTGATCCAGGTGTTGGCATACTTCATGCAGTGGAGCCACTGCAGCAGGGCTTGGTCTGAACAGAGGGTGAACAAGCGTGCCAGGAGGTAATAACGAAGGGAGTCGACAGCCCACCTGATAGTCAGACAGTCCTTCTCCACTGTGCTGTACCTGTGCTCATGCTTTGTCAGCTTCTGGCTGATGTGTATGTCACGAGGGTCTATGAGAAGGTGAACCCCTCTATAATGGGAAGAGCAGTGAATGATCACAGGGAGTAGAGAATATAAAAACTACATTTCTAAAATATAGTTTATTGAACATAAAAAACAATAAGAAAATACCATGGCCAGGGACAATAATTAGTTAAATATATAAAAACAAGACAACTAAAAGTTCTAGTGGGCTCAGCCGAACAATTAAAATCACTAAAAGTCCAATAAAAAAATCCCAAGTCGGCAGCGCCC